CCTTCCTTTCCCGCATGCCATTGGATCGCAGAGAGACACAGGATTGGCTGAGGCCAGGTGGTCTAATATGTCTGCGCCCTAATCCGACGCCACACCACACCACACCACCACATTGCACAGGTTCGGGTTTTCGCTTATTTGGCCGGCTTTTCTATAACATCAAGTATATTAGTGGCATATTTGTGACATTAGGTGGCTAGGCTCTTGGTTAAGTTTATTGCTACAATCTTAACTTTTGACTAGCTGTATCGTCTATTTTGTAATGCCGTGTGTTTTTTCATAGGGATTTTTATATCGCTTGACTGACCAGCTGTTCTCATCATTTGGTGACGTACATTTAAACTGTTCTTTCGTTACTATTGACTGACATATGTCAAATGGAATCCATCTTTTTTAACCCATTGCGTGTGTTTCCTACTTTGTGTCTGAGGGAGTGTCGTATGTATTAGCTATAAGTGTTTGGAGGTTTATCGGCTCCTTTGTTGTATTAACTTTTGGTATGTGTCCTATCCTATTAATAATACCCTTGGTAACCACTCGGAATATTTTGTACATTCTGTGTGCCTTTAAGTGGAAAATCTTCTATTTAGCATCCATTCGTATTCCTTCCAAACCAAATGACTTACATCTATGAAGTATATTAAATGGACTTTTTGCTCTTGAAGCTATAATGTATCGTCACCAGTAATTCTGCAGTTGTCTTAAGTTACATTAATTTCGCCATCTTTAGCTAAGTCGTCAGACCTCTTTTGGTAGGTTTAAAGATTTATCCATAAATTACTCTACCGATTCATGCATTTCCAGATTTCCTTTCGAAAAATACCCCAAATTTTCAGCTTAAAGCATCATTTTAATTACCTGGATGCTTATTACACATATTTTGCCGCCATTTCCAGCCTAATTTACCTGCAGTTTATTCTTATTTTATCGTTAAGTCGCAGACTGCATTCTAAACATATGATTTATCATGTGTAGGAGTAACTTCTTCCTCCTGCTCATTTGGTTGGTTATGTGTTTTAGTTTAGTGCTTCCCTGTTTTGATTTAGCGCTTCAAATTTATAGAATTCACATCGACATGACAGCAGAGGTTATTACAATGGAGATAAACGGGAAGGAGTTATGGGACTCCCTGAGTGTTTTTGAAGGTCTTCGTTTCTCTCCCAAATTCAGGCTTGCTATTAGAACCAGCGAATCAGAAATAGAGCTACTTCAAGATCAGTATAAGGATGCAGCAGAAATGTTTAATCGTTCTTCAAAGGTATATCATAATTTCAGTATACTCTGTGTTCTAACTCGATCCATTGCTGTTAGTATTCCTATTTCAGGCAGGAGAAGCGTTTGCTGATGCACTTAAAGGTGTTGGTCGGTGTCTGAGTAACTTAGCAACTCCGAGTTCCAGCTTTGGACTCAACGTTGAATGCGAAGAAGAAATTCAACACATGATCCGTACAATTGACGCCTTCTCCGAACTCATTGCAATTTTTTCTGCTCGTCTGTTACAGCCAGGTAACGTTTTTCTGCAGGCGGGAATGGGACTGTGTGAGTCGCAGCAAACTCGCAAGGAATTTTACCGCGCCTGTGATCAGGTCGACGCAGCTATAAACAAAGCCGCCTCTGTCCCTCGCAGCCGTGCCTCGGATGCCGAGGAGGCCGATTCCACGCTTCTGGATGCTCGTGCCACATTTGCACGTGTTTTAGAAGGCTATCTCTTGGGTCTGCGAACTGCGCTCGGTCCAGTGAGATTATCCACTGTGTCAAAAGCCACCCTAACCACATATGAGATTCAGAAAAGCCATTGCGATTGCATGACATCGCTCTATCAAACCGATGGGTGTGTTTCAACACTGCAAAACTACATCGCTCTTTACGAAGAGGAGGCTTCTCATAAACCAAAGACTACTACAAATGGTCAATCGTCGTCTCCTGTCTCAGATCAAAACATCCGTTACGAGGGTCACTTGTTTAAAAGAAGTAAAAAAAAGCGTTGGCGGACGTGGGTCCGACGGTGGTTTATGGTATCAGATAATCGTCTAGTTTACCTTTCTTCCCTATCCGAATCCTCAACCACCCTGAAATGGAAGGTACTCGAATCCGATTTGCGACTTTGCACAGCAAAAGTATCTGCGTCTACATTTAGTTCTGGTGATCCTATGATGGTGTCCTCTTCAATGAATAATGTAACAGAAAGGCGCTTTGTGTTTCAATTGATATCGATGACGGGAAAGATTCATTACCTACAAGCAGAATCGGCTGAAGCAATGGAAAAGTGGGTCACAGTGCTTCGTTCGGGTCTACTCAATTGCTCAACAGCAGATGGAGAGAGTCGGTTGCCCCGAATGTTAGATATGGTGACTGCTCCATCAACGATTGTTTCAAGAAACAGTTTGAGGAGCCTGGGTGGTGTTTCGCTGCTTGATGAACCACAGACTGCCGGTAACCGTTCGTGCGCTGATTGTCTGACTAATACTGACGTGATCTGGGCCTCTACTAACTTGGGTGTTACTCTGTGCACCGACTGCGCTGCCTGTCATAGAAGCGTTGGAGTTCATGTATCTAAGGTAAGCTTTATTTGTGTTATACTCTACGTAATTTTGTTCGTAAATTTCTCCGGTAAATCGTTTTACTGTACATATGTTTTTATCTCTTTATTGGTAACCACAATTATCATGAGTAAAAGTAGGCTTTTCTAGTTTTATTTCTTTGGCCTTGCATTCCTTAGGAATATTCATGTATGACCTCTCGTATCGAGACACCACGAACGTTTTGATATTACCCTGTTAATGTATTACCATCATTCAACAACTATCCCGCATTTTACAAATATGCATCGAAGCTGTAAAACTTACGAATGCTAATACAAAATCCTTTGATCGATCCCGTCGTCGACTTCATAGCCATCTTCGAGTTAAATTTCCTCACCTTTCTACTTTATTTATCCGCCTCCCCCTTCTAGGTTCGATCTTTGGTTCTTGATAACTGGGAACCAGAATTACTTGAATTGATGCATAACCTCGGTAATAACTTAGTTTCAAGTGTCTATGAGTCCGACCTCCACTCTTCATCCTCATCGCCTACAATACATAGACCGCAGCCGGGTGAGGTGAATTCACACTTAAGGAAGACCTGGATAGAGGCCAAGTGGGTGCGTCGGGTCTTTGTGCGGTCCTTCGTCCATCCGACGGCCAATAATTGGCTTCTCGAGCTCTACCGCGCATGGTTGACCCAAACCCACTCAAGACGTGTATCCCGCACACCTGATTCACCCTCTTCACACAAGCCTGTTGTGTCGAAGACTATTAGGGCACATCACCCAAGACCTATCGACCGACGACGTGTTGCCGCCGTTTCTCGAGGCTCAACGGCGCGTGCTCAAGTCATTTTGGGTAAGTTAGTACTGGCGAAGCTGTCAAAGTCGTGATACCAAAAACCTATTTAAATATGTTATTTCTTTCTGTTTTGACATTTTTCGACGCTCACCCTTAGCTCTTCAGTTAAGATTTAACCCCACTACTTGCGATATTTAAGGTAACATTTTGCTTTTTTTACTAACATGGAAGCGTGTTGACAAACAACTAAACTATATATTAATGGAACCATTATTTTCAATTTTGATGGCGTAGCTACGGATTGAATACTTGCCTTCATTAATTCCGCCACGTGTTCTTCAAGTGTACTAATGATTCGTAGTGCAAGTAGTTTATTTCAGAACGTTCCATCACATGATAATATTAGGCCATGTAGTTTATGTTCCTGCATTATCTCTTGCGATGTGTCAACAGCATATCGGCATTTACATTGGGCACTTTTATTGCGACATGTCGATCGGGTTTTCGGCCCAACGAATGTTTGATGTCGTAGTGCCTAATTCACATTGTTTGCGTTTGATCTTTACTGTCCTACACTTTTGAACCTCGCTCTAAAAATCATATAGCAATAAGTTTCTGCATTGCGCTCTACATTGTGTGACAAACCTGTCAAGAGTGAACACATTTTTCGCCAAAAGTTGCTATGGGATGTGGAATACTTTAGTATGAAAGCGAAAATCATCATTGCTGCATTGTGCTCAGACAACTTTCTATTATCCAAATGCAGATGCACTACATGCTCACCTGGACTCTCTAATGCTTAACGAAACCCAATCGTTGAAGGTGGGGGAGGTGGCCGATTGCCGAGAAGAGGTAGCGGCGCGACTAGTCTTGGTCGCTGGAGCACGTCTTGGCTGTGCTCCTTTTATTCTTGCCGGTCTTGCCCGCGGCGCCTCTCCCAACGCCCTTCTCCGCGCCGCCGACTGGACTCACACTTATCGATTGCCTTTTCCTACCGACGGAGATCCCCTTGGGGCACAAACACCGCCGCTCATTTTTGCCGTGAATGGAGGTCGTATCGCCGCTTGCGAGCTTCTTCTTACCAATGGAGCAGATGTAGGAAAATATTGTAAAGCGATGTTGTTCCTACTGGCCTCGATAGATTTGTAACCATAAGGAAAACTTTTCGCTAGACACCTCTATCGCTTTCTACAAAGTATTACGCTAAGTAACCACAGACTTTACATAGCCATGAGTCATTGGTCGGTGTTATTTGATTTTCATTGATCATAAGAATTTGAAAATGGTATTCATGTTTAGTAGCTTGACGTCACTGCCATAGGCTCTAACCTATTTCTTGTATTGGTTTAGTCCACACTTCATTTCTAGGTCATTAATTAATTCTACTGCAAAAAGTCGTTAACACGTGATGGTGTCAGCTCAACACACAGCATACGTATCTACACAAGCACTCGGCAGTAGTACTCGATGCCAAGTCGTGTGCCTTATTTCCGAATCTTCACCATGTCATTATCACTAACTTAATAAACAATTGCTAAATTGTCGCAGCGCAATCGTCAACATTGGACATTGTTTCTTGTGTTGCTGCTGCCTTGATATGGTCTTGGTCACCTGTAATTTAGACCACCCGGCACCTTTGAGTAAACTTATGCCATCAGGTGAGATAAATCGAAAGACGGGCTCACATTGCTGTTCCGGTCCTGAAGGTATTTATCGTTTGACCTGACCGAAGGCTCGCAACCAATGCAGTTCACTACAGTGGGTCTGCGCACAGTCGTTTTTATTGAACTGCGTACAGAAGCCTATTTTAGTTCAGCGGCATGGTGAATCACAAAAGGGTTCCGTCAATTGTGCATAGTCTGCATGACCATGCGTCAGCACATGGCCGGCTTGAGGGTTGTTCTGAAATTCAATGTGCTCCACACCATCAATTCAGAACACCTCAACATCATGAAATTGTGTTACTAGTCGTGAAATTAGCGACGGACTCAACGTACTTGAGTACCGCTAACTTAACCGCGTTGTATTATTTTTTTGCCTTTCGATGAAGGTGGGCGTGCGTGCGTGCATGCGCGCGTGCGTGTGTATGGCTCGAGATTGCAGTGTAATGCGGGTATTCTGTTATACTTTGGTGCCGACGTCCACTTGACTGCTGTTCATTCTTTTCTCATTCTGTTCCACATTTTGCATACCCTCTCGTATTGTGGCGTCAAACAGCCACATTGCTTATGCACCTTATAAATACGATTACACGTAAAATTGACATCCAGTGTGCTGTTTTTACCCTAGTCGATTCAGTAATCTGCGCAAAAATAACGGATACAAAGATGTTCGGAACGTGCGTAATTAAAGTGCATCGGAGTGAGATCATTTCTGAAGGAAATTCGTGCCTAGAGTACATTTGGCAACACGTAGCCTTGATTTTTTTGAGCCTATTTCGCGTCTCTTACTTGCAACGTCCAGTGTCTTTTGCGAGGGCCTTTGTGCATGATATTTTTGTACTAGATATATCGTTGCCCAAGTCATGCCTTGTGTTGGCATTTTAAATGTACATGTTGGTTGGTATAAGAATAAAATAATGCTATGTAAAATGGTGACTGTTTTATGCAATGCCGCGTTTTATTCGCACACTTTCAGCATGAATTTCAGGCATCTATTTACAAAGTAGTGCACCTAATTGGAAGTCTGAAATCTCGGTTTTGCTGCTTGTGCGTTACATTCATTAAATTGATGGATAACTTGGAGGTGAATGCCGTGACTTGTAGTTTTGCTCTCGACATTTCTGTTTACAGTTGTGTGCATTTTTCGATGTCTGCTTACGTTGTATTCGTCCAAGCACTGTTGTGTGCTTGCTTGTAACTCGTTGTGCTTGCTCTAATTCGTTGAGCAAGTGTTTTGTTTTTCAAGTTTGATGCATGGCGGCTGGCCTGCTCACCATATTGCGTTAGCTTAAATGTTGACGTAGCTTCACTACGTCACATTAGGGCTGCCATTTTGATTTACAACAGGACATGAGATTTCTTAAACACACGTAACGCTTCGTGTCTTCTTATAGTGTTTCCTTAGTGAATATGGTGGGGTAGCTTCATGTTAAAATTGTTACTGTAGCCTTATTTTGAAGTTTCTACTGGATTCGTGTTCTGTTCGTTGGTAGATAAATGCACCAGATCGGAACGGTCGAACGGCGTTGCACCACGCATGTAGCCTCCAGCGTGTTCACGTTGTTTGTCTGCTGCTGCGTCGACAGGCGAATCAGGATATTAAAGACAAGTTCGGTCGACTCCCTATTGATGTGGCCCTGGACACCGCCAACGCAGATATCGTCACGCTGTTACGGTTGCAACACCTTAACAGCAACTCCAAGGTTAGTTGTAACACAGGCGTGATTTCGGAAGTGGCCGTGCGCTTACTGCTAGTTGCAGGGTCGTTCTGGCGTATTTGAATGGGGCCTTCAGTACCTCCGAGTTGTCGTTTGCGTGGCTGATGGGTCACTCCCGCGCGTAGTTCTGCAATGGCCCACTAAGTGAGACAGGCTTCACCATTTCAGTTCTCATTCCACTTACGGTAGTCCATTTGGTGACAATGGCGTGGTTTGGGGCAACTTACTTTGCAAATGGTGTGTAAGATGGGTTGGAGGTTACTTTGCTGTTACAAACTCCCTTAGTGCAAAGGCATTTCATGTTTGTCGATGTTGTTTTGCATCGCAAGGGTCCAGCACCCGCCTCACAACATTACTAACCTACCACCAATCCTACAGTTGATGTCAGGACAATAAATTCTGCCTTCCTTGTTGCACTGTCACTGTTGTGTTCAAACTTGAGGCTCCTTTTCCCTCTTCTGATCCGCCCCTGCTCCATTGTTCTAAGTTACTTCAGCGCGTGTAATTGTTTATCCTAGGATTATTTTTTGATGTACTCTGTGCTTTTTTCAGAAAGTGTTATCATCCGAGTAAGGGCTAGATGTGCTTACCTTAATCGTTGTACGAGCTCCTGCTTGACCTTCTCCTGTTTCCAGTTTAATTCGCCTACCACCCAGCAACCATGTGTGAGTGTGCACACACTGTGGTGGAAATTCGATGACTCATCCGCAACTTTTAATGTGGTAACCATCGCCTTATCCGCGCCCTGCTTCCCAGTGGTTATGTTTTAATCACTCAATCTACTCAATGGTCAGAATGCGGCTCTAAATGTTTCGGTGGTGTCAGATCCCGAATAGTCTGTTAGTACAAAAGTGTCTGTCCAATGCTTGTATAAATGCAATGCTCAATGATGCCACCATAAGATTGCACACACAGCATCATTCGAAATTCAATGAAATGAAAATGCGGCTTCTCACACAAGGAAGATGGAGGAAGTAGAGTCGATGGCATTGCAATTATCTTTTGGTTTTCTTCCAGGATATTTTGTGTTGGAGAATTAACTCATATCAAATCATTATGCGAGTAGACCTTCCAGCCTGTGTAAAACTCTTTATTGCACTGCTTTTTCTGCTGAGATGACTTTGCTCGTGCCCTATTTCCGATGTAACACAATTTCTTCAAAAAGTATCTTTTACATAATGTTCTGTAATTACCTCTTAACGTTATATGAAGTAACGGTCGTTGAAACTGTTTTCTGTTCAACGTCGTGTGGTGGTTTTGAAATTTCAGCCATCGTATTAATTTGTACTAATCATATCATTTTGAACAGGACAAAGCAAGAACATACTTGAATGGCTTATATCGGAGAAATAAGAGGGATGGTCCAGGGTGTTGCACTTTAACTCCCTACTTGTTTCTTGTGCAAGTTAAGTGACATGCAGTTTAGCATTATCACAGTCATAGGTGTCGCCTTTTCAATTGACCAGTTTAGGACATCTCGTATTAGTCGTAAAATTGAGTTGTGTAAATTTTTCACAATCCTTCTCTACAGTTATTATTTGGCCACGTGAAACGCTCTTGTAAACATCACTCCCCTGCAATCCTCCTCCCAGACATTGAATGCACATTATCCTTGACATTGATCCTGCTCTTCCGCATCCGTGCTTCCGACTGCCTTTTTTTTCATTATGCTTTTATACAAAAGTCATTTATCATCTACATTCGCTACTTGAAAGTTTCGCACTGTTGACGTACGAGAAGTGGCTAGGGAAACATTTTTAGTTTGTTTCATTCGGACAAAGCATGTGAAGCCCGTATGTCGAATTTTCAGGTGTATTCTGGCTTCCTTAAACGGCAACATGTAGTCTCTAAACGCTTTTAGTGGCATCTTGCAGATTATATCACCAAATAATAGATGTGGTCCTTTTCGATACCAGAAGGTCATATAAGCCTAAATTCGTCGCTTAAGTCAAGGTCGCCATTCCTTTTGACTCATGACGCACTTCGGTAACTGTGAGATGATTAAGGCAAATGGCTACCGAAGATACTATAATGTCAGAAGTGCAAGTTTCTGAAATTTACAATGATCGAACAAAATTTTATCGCTTCCCAATACGATCGAAAATTCCCCTCGAAATTGTGAAGTAGTTGTTCTTCTTAATTAATTTTTCAGCATTTCATTCTGCATCTGACGAAGTGTTTGTGGGATTTGTGAGCTCGAGAGAAAATGTTTTGGTCTGCGAAGGGCCCCACTTCTTTGTTACGATATCCGCTAATTTCTGGGAAATTTCCTAAACGGAATGCTTTCTACTGTGCTGAGCTTAATGAACGTCCTTATGAAACAGTCTCGCCACAATGTTTTTATCATGCTCAATATTAAAGATATTTGTGTCATGCCTATTACTTTTATTTTTGCAGATTGCGGATGGTACTTCGTTGGAAGGTGGGCAAGACGAAACAGCAATTGAGGTTTTTCGTGACTTTACTTCGCGGGCCTATTATCTAGAATGGGATAGTGAAAAGGAGGATTACAACGAGCCTACAGCTGGACTTTGAGGTCGAACATCTTTTCCCTTTATGCTTTTCAACTGTGTCGTCAAACCACCTTTTGTCTTTCAGACTGGGCTTTACTATTTTGTCAGACATTTTCTTAAGATCTCATTTAATATTCAACTTTGATCAGCATGGAAACTAGTTTGGTATTTTTCACCCACCACCATATATATATATATATATATATGCTTGCACCCAGTACCTTTATTTGAATGAATTTTATGTATTGTTTCGTTAAAATTGAAACTTATTTGCCCTATCAAGGCGTTTAGATCGCTTTACTGGGATATCGCCTGTGTTGTTTCCCCGTGGTTGGATGCATGAAAAGACACCGAGAAATGTCTCTGGTCCGTTAATGTTAAATCTGTTGGCTTTAGCCTTGCAGAAACTGTTTGTATTACTTTTATTTCCTACCCAAAACAATTTAAATTGGGCGTGCTCTACAGCATTAAAACCAGCTAACCAGGAAGAGTGACGCGCGTTTGACTACTATCATATTAAGACACGCCATCGCCAAATTTAGGTTCGCTCCTCTGGTATTGAATCTATCTCTGAGCGTATGGCATTTTAAAGTAAAAATAAATAGTAGTGTTTCAAGTGTCTGCCCTTCCGTCTGCAATGCCTACCGTATTGGAATAACCGGCATCCGACATTTGTTTGTGTCACCAATTTCTCTACATTTCCATTAATTATTTATGAAAATCGCGTGTCTGCTGTGATTTTTTCCTACCTTATGTATCTTTAAGTACCATTGATGATGTTTTGTAACGTAATGCGTAAAGCAAACTCAAAAACGTTTTACAATCAAAAGCAAAGCCACGTCAAAGTACCCAAGATTATTATTTTGATAAAAATCAATGACAAAAGGATGCTTCTGGAAAAATGATCTTCAGTTTCATTGAAGTTATGAATTTTTGTTTTTAGGCCCGCTTGACTAAGTGAAGGAAGATAAAAATGACATATTTGAAGCCTATGCCTGGGGTAATTTGTGAGCCTTGGACTAAATTACAGCCTAAGAATTGGAAAGGGTGCATCTGTCATCTGTACTGGAAGCCAGGAAGTTTTGATAATTGAAAACAAATGAATGTGATCAAGCTGTTCTTCCGACGATACTTATGCGATTTAAAATCCGTTAAATCCAGGTTCATATAGGAATTCGGAATTAAAGTGGGAGCAATAAAGTCTTTCATAACATTTGAATTCTGTTTTGTAATTGCATAAAACTTCTTTTGATGTTTCCAGGGCAGCAAAATTGACAATTTTTAATCGTGCCAATTCTGTTCAAGCGCGGATAATTATAAGTAGTGCACAACTTAGTCCAAAATACAAGAGAATATTTCGATTAATCTTATCAGAGTATTGAAAATTATAATGAAATTAAGTGACTTTATGGCGGTTTTCGAAAATTGAGTTGCCATACAGAATCGTCGGTATATAAAACTGACTTTACAAACGAGAGTGAAAGTAAAATGCATGTAGTCAAAATATTAACGATCGAGGCCAATTTGATTTATTATTACGAAAACGTGTAAGGTAATTTAAAACTTAGCAAATTTAAGTAAAAGTCTAAGAAGATATCGCTTTCAAGTTAAATTTGCTGAAGTGGACATTTTTTTGAAAAATCCTTGTTAGTGCTTTTTATTACACTTTGGCATTGGGAAACAAAAAATGAGGGAATAGTAATTAAGCGGCTAACCACGATATTCATGCAAAGTTGGAAAGCATCAAATGTCTGCGAGAATTTGCTGGACACTAAGATGCTTACCAATTGAACGCAAATATTTTTTTAAAAAAAGTAGAAATTTAATTAACAATGCAGTTTAAAAAGTGATTTGAAGTTAGTTTGTTAAAAATTTTGATGTTGTTTGGATACGTGATTTGCATTTCATGACCTATGTAAATATTTCTCTGCTTGGTTTAATTGTCTGTGTTGTACTTATGCGCATTCAGTCTGTTGGCAAATTTGTTGTAGTTTTAATGTTTTTGCAATCTTTGTTATTGCTGTTTATATATCAAAGGGCGAAAAATAAGCTTGTGAACACTCAATCTGAAGTGTTTCATCATTTTACTAGGCAAAACTTGCTTGTATGTCAGAGATATTTTTAACTGCTAATTTTCTAGAATTTTAGTTTGCAAAGTAATTTAACCACGTATATGTACGACGTACCTAAAATAATTCCAGTCCTGATGCTTGCGTGTGATCGAATTGGCATAAACCGCTCTTTGTCACGTTTGATTGAATATCGCCGAAAGTATCCGGACGGACCTCAGCGATTCCCTATATATGTATCACAGGATTGTAATGACGAAAACGTTTTGGCGCTGTTAAAACTCTATGACGAACAAATAACGGTATTAAATCAGCCTGATCATTCTGAGATTGTTCTTCAACATCATAATGTGAACTTTCAAGGTAACTAAATCATTATATCTGTTCCCTTATGGTCGTAATGTGCAAATAGCAAAATTCACATGCATTGGCAGTACTTTTTGTAAAGTGTATGCATAATAATCTCTCTAATGTTCTCACGTTTTGCAGATTTGGAGTGGCTTTAATTCTTTTAAAGTTTTCTATTTTGTTAGTTATTTATGTTCCCTTAATCATAACATATCTTGTGGTTGCAAATACGGTATTTATGTTTAAAGCTAATTGCAGGAACATCAGATGGTGAATTTTTGATTTCTTGAATTTCACTGTAGTCAAGTGACGTCATTCCGATATTCCAATTTATGCACAATAGCATTAAAATAAAACGTCGTTGAAGCTATCATCTGTACAGTTTTTTGTTTTGTTTGACATATTCAGCTTGGTTGAATGTATTTTTGGAACCTGAATGCCAGTATCTAAGCACATTTTGTTGTTGTTCGAATCTGGGTTAGGGTTTGAGGCTGCAGAGCATGACTTAAGCGGGAACGAAATGTTCCTTAAGTTCAAATGTTTCATCGAATCATTTTTTTGTTTCGATCAATCCTATCATATATCTGAATACTTCTACACTCTCATTAGTGAAATTTCACAGTAATTTTTACAACCAGACTTAAGTATTTGTGGTATTCTATCTCTAGGTTCCTTACCCTCTTTTGATGCACTCGCATCACATAATTGCTGGGCGCTTACCTTTTTTTAAATATATCTCCAAAACTATCCATAACATTGTCAAATTTTCTTTCTTGATGTCTTTTTGTTGTAATGTATCTCAGTAATTTATCTTTTGGTTTATGTTTCTCATTTTATGTCAGTTTAAGTCCATCTAAATACATTTTAACATATTTTAAAAAGCCCCATTACAGTGTGCACGTTGAAAGACATACAATTTAAATTTAAGATAATCAATCGGGATTTCTACTAATGCGTGACTTCTAAAAATAATTGAATAGTCATAGCTTTCGTGCATTGTTGAAAACCTTGTAGGATTTCAAAGTCAATTTTGTCAATTAGAATACTTTTGTATGCTGAACTGCTATATTAACATTTGAGTTTTCTCCGATAGCTGTTCACAACACTTTGCTGCAATAAAGTTCCTAGTGTCTGTGTGTAGTTCCTAAATATGCAAGCTTTCTAAGTTACTTTCTACTGCAAAGGCATTTGAAATTGATACTACCAACGTAGGCTTTTACCCGTCTCAAGCTTCGCTATTCCTGAGTTGAAATATTTAAACGTGATTTGGTGGTTTTACAGATTACCTTTTTTGAAATTTTTATAACTCATAGGTCATTTTCTTGCTTATATGACATTGAGGTTATATGTTAAAATTAAGAAAGTTAGTGAAACGAGGCCCACAAGACAAAGTTATTAGGATAATATTTGTTAGGGTGAATTTGAAACCTTTTATGCATTAGTAAAAATTATAAGAACCAATCCTAACTGAAGGCGTAAATCACCGGTGTAACGTTAAAATCCGTTTGAAAATCAAATTGTTTACTTCTAGATCTTCTCATCAGCCAAACCATTTGAAAAATTGTGTTTTCATGCTTAGCCCCTTGCGTCATGCAGCGGGCGTAAATGGAAATATGGTAGCCTACTAATGCTCGTATCTGCTTCGATTGACTCAGATTCCGTGGAATTTTAACCCCACAATAGTAAGGAAACTAAGAAGACAATCAATGTAGTCAATCTATAAAAGCGATTTTTTAATTTGTTATACAGTTGAATATCTTTTAATCAACCTATAACTCTTATTTTGGGTTTTACTTATCTGGCGTTGCCTTTTCGGGAATTAAGGTTTTTAGAACTCTGTAGTTGTATTATTGGCCGCACACAATGTAAAAGCCCTACAGTGGCATCGGCTCAATTCGTGTGTAGCTGACGGCTAGGTAAATGTTGAGTCTCCTTGACATCGCTTTCTACTTTTCTTTTATGAGGACTCGTCTTTTATTGTATAGTCGCTAGGGTCCCATTTTTTCGTGGTGTGTGTTTAGGATATCGATTAAACGCAACTTGTTGGCAGTATACTCGTATTTGCACATGTAAATTACGTTAATCTGTCTTCTGGGTTTGTGACTTCAAAATTACCGTCCGAGGATGCTTCGGGGGGTTCCAAATAACAGCTTTGTAACTGTTTAAAAGTAATAGGAGTTATTTCCATTTTGTCTAAGCACGAGAGCAATAGTACCCCATGGATTTATTGCTAAATTAAAACCACTCTACCTTTTGGAACGAAAACTACCAATGATAGTGATTGACGACGTTTCAGTTGTCCACGTTTTTTATTTGACTTAAATTTTTCTGTAGTACGATTTGTATTGGGTGAAATGTAAATTCGTCGTTTTGACAGTACCTGTCAAAGTGCTCACGGTTGAAGTTTTAGTGCGTTTTCAGTAAGGCCATTTCAACGAAGTAAGCAAACAAACACAAATTGTCTAGTGCAGTGCATAGTGCGCTTTTTTTAATGGATTTGACCAGTTAACGCCACCTGTTTGTCTAAGCACATGTTTAATTAATCAGGTTACTACCGGATTGCACGCAACTACAAGTGGTCTCTAAGTCAAGTCCTGGATGAGCGCAACTACGAACTGGTTATAGTTATGGAAGATGACTTGGACGTGGCACCTGACTTCTTCGACTATTTTTACGCCTTTGTTCTTTTGCTGCTGTCAGATCGATCCCTTTACTGCATTTCGGCGTGGAACGATAACGGTCGCCCCACCCTTATTGACAAATCGCGGACTGACCTCCTTTACAGGTACATCGTGCTTGAAAATTGGTCAAGCACGGTTATTTCTAACGGTTCTTATAATATCATCTTCTACTTGTTGGAGATTCGTTCGAAGTAATGCAATTCACTTTTAGGTGGAGCAAATCATGTTTCTTGTTCAAGATGGTGTCGAGGTTCCCTTTGCACTTGCATCATGCACACTGGAAGAAATAATTCACACTTTGGGATAACCTTCTCAGGGAGCTTATTCGCAAACTTTAAAAATCATTTCCCAAAAAAGCACTTTACCTGTTTTGATTTCAAAATCCTCTAAGTCCACCTCTGTCCTTTCCGTAATTATAGTACACTGCACAATTTGCCCTTAGTTGTATTTATAGCAAATCTTCATTCTCAACTGATCTTTTTATGTAAATGTACATAAAGAGCATGTCCACACCGAAGAGCCAGGTCTCGTTTTATCTCCAAGTTTGGGGTTTTTGCCAAAATGTGCTCGCGAGATCAATGTGTTTTTTCACCACTAGTGCTCGGTTTAGATGTAGAGGACCAACCGCACATCGGCAGTGCCAAACATTGTGACGACCGTCCCGTCACTGCACTTGTATGCACTTCGTGCCTAGCAAATTGTTCCACCAACTCATTGCGTGTGAAGTATATGCTAATAAAACTACCATGTCTATTTACTTATTCCAATGTTCTAATGGAAGAAACACATACCATTATGAGAAATGGTCTGTGAAAATTAGCAAACACAAAGAGCCAAGGAAAGCATTTTCAAATTTAGAAATTAATTTTAAGAGCACCGTTTGTGGTGTACTTTGAGACAAGTAACTTTCGACTATGTTTCGTTGGTCTAAACCTGACAGAGATCACTATAAATAAACACGAATAAATTGTGTTTTCAAGCAACTTGTTTTCGGCCTTCGGGAATAGTAGCACATTGATTCTGGTTTATTCACTTTCTCCTTTTAGGGATTTCCATGGTTAAGCTCTCCATTTTCTTGAATACAGATCTCATGTGAATCATCATCAAGCAACATATGTGTATTGTTCCCACCTTCCACACGATACTCTTGACTTTAATATCAAGGCGTTTACTTAGTCTCATTAGTTATAATTTCATTTGGAAAATAGTGGATACGGAACAACCGACTGCCATTTTTCGCAAGTTACTATTCCAGAAACTTGTGTTATTGGAGCTCGCGTATATTAAGTTACTTGTACCTGACACGTCAATCTTAAGGCATCGGTGGTCGAAAGCTTATGCCTTCTTCCTGGGGTCCCAAATATTGCCGTTTGAAGCACGGACCGACTAAAGGATTATTGATGTCAATATTTGGTTTTGGTAGGCGGCAAAGGTTTAAATTGTTAAGCTGCATCTATGAATACAGCTTTTCTAGGCTGAGTACGTACAAATGGCGCTATCAGTTTTACTTTTATGGCCTACAGAATCTGCCATTTATGCGTCTGCGTGCTTCGAGGCAATTCTCTCGCCCAGCAGTTTGATTACGTAATTAGTTAACGAATCAAAGACAAATCCTGGTTATGCTTAAATTTGCTTCTACTAGTTATCTACCATTGCCTACATTAATAGAACTATTCTCAACTTAAATTGTTGGACTGAAAAGCATATTCCTGCTTTTTGTTTTTCTATCGCATTCTAACTAAGATCTAGATTTCGCACTCTAAATTTCCTAAATCACGTGTCATCAACTACAATTTCAGCAGTCCCTATTTACTTGTCCAAATGGTATTTGCAACCTTTTTTTATTAAAATAAAATTTTTACCTCTTCATATGTTGTTGTTTTGGTCATAGGAGCGATTTTTTTCCCGGTCTCGGTTGGATGCTCACTCGTCGACTGTGGCAGGAAGAGTTGCGCGACTCCTGGCCAGCGGCCTTCTGGGATGACTTTATGCGCACAAAGGAAGTACGTCGTGGCCGTGCCTGCATCCGTCCTGAAGTATCACGTACATACACATTTGGTCGAAGTGGTGTCTCCAATGGACAATTCTACGACACCTACTTGCGATTTAATTATTTGAATGACAAGCCAACTGTGCTCAATTCCACACACCTTTACTACAATCTTCAACCCAGTGTCTATGACTCTCGGTTTCTTTCTGATGTCTACGACAAATCTGTTCTTCTACGGAACCCTGCACAGCTGTTGCGACTACCGTCCACCTTACCCCAAAGTGTTGAGTTCCGCTTAGAGTATCATACGCAGCAGGATTTTGTATCTGCCGCGCAGTTGATAGGCGCGATGCATGACTTTAAATCAGGTATCCCGCGAACAGCCTACAAAGGCGTCGTTTCAGTATTTTACCGGGGCAGACGCATTTATCTGGCACCGTCAGGTGTACGTGGATGGGCTAACAACGAATATCCAAACTGGGAATGATCCGTACTGTCGCAGCTCCTTACGTCTTTCTTTGTATTAACTGTTTATGTATATAACCAAATAAACACAATGCTATAACAGCACTATTTTGGCGTTTATTCAAAGTATTTGGATAAAGAACACTGTGAGTTAAAGCCCAATAAATCCATTTTTGCTTGTAAACAGAGATTTGTGTGTGTGAACGGCCCAATGAATGGTTAAAGGAGGGTATCGGAGATGGGCAAGCATGTTGAGGATCATCTGACTAAACAAAGAGCTACTGCTTGGTTTACCTTGTAAGTCTATCACACGTCTCATCTCTGTCATGTCGCAATGACTTGTGATGAACTCAGAGAAGGGAGAAGAGATCTAAGTCGGTGGGCTGTTGTATTCGACCTACTTTTATGTTACAGTGTCGGTATAGATCTAAAATCATTAGAACTTCACCCAGAGCTAATGAATTCGTTCATGACCACTAGATAATACCTCATTCGGAAGAATATAGACAAAAGCTTCTCCGCCTAGCAGGGGTCGAAATCAAGTGGGAAATCGACGAGAACAGTCAGTGTTTTGTCGATAGGGACATTGATAATGTTGTGTCACACCTCATGTCTTCTCCGTTTTTTTTTCCAGGATTCACTGATATTTAGTCCCAAATAAATTCATGTGCGATCTGTGATATCCTATCGGTTAGCGGTTCACTTTGACGCTTAAAATCGTTCGTTTTGACGACGAAAATTTAATAGAGAAAAAGCAAAATTGTTTGTTTCATATACAGCAACGGCCAAATCAATCAATGCGTCCACTGGAGTGCATTGTCGTGACAGGCTGATAGCAGTTACGCGGACCAGGAGTCGGTTGTAGCGTAGGCACTTTAAAGCCCGATTTCGTTTAAATACGCTGAGCGGTTAGTAATGGATGAATTCAAATTGACAAAGTGTTGCCTTAGGTCAATTGAGCACGTGTGTAGGGAGGATCAGCATCCTTCGAAAACATAAAGAGAAGTTGGACAAACAATTTGAGTGGCACCAGCTTGCCAGGTCTCTTACATACATACCTGACACGCGTACATCATGGTTTGAAATTGGTGAGTAAAAAAAGGTAGCACTCTGCTATGAACTATGAAATGATTGAACAAAAATTTAGTAAGTGAATGTAACTCATACATGGCTACGTGCAAGTACAAGATATGAGGATAATGTTTGTGGGAGACCTGCTGGCAAAATAATTAATGCACAATTCCTAAACCGGTTGATGTTTCTTGCCTGGATATCTGTGATTTGTGATAGTAAATTTGAAACCTGTTTAATTCTTGCAGTTTACCTTTTTTTTGATAACCGATTTGACAAAAACAGTGTAAAAGCGCGGAAATGAATTGAACGCAGTCTGCTAGCTTTGTAAATCTTAGTGGTATTTGATAATGAAATTTTTTTATCATCAATATGAGTCATACCGAAATAGCCGAGTCTCGGTCATTATTTTAAGTCATCACTGGCTTTAGAACCTCGACATGAAATGCATAAGTGACCTGCCAAAATATCTCTTTAAAAATGCTGGTACCATCAAAAGTAAATGCGGAAACTAACAAAACCTTTCAAAAAATTAATTTTTTTAGGTAGTATTACACCCTGGGTTTTTGATAATCCGAAGACTTCCCTTATAGCAAAACTACAACGAGTAACGTACAAAAAAGAACATGTGAAATATCTCAGCCCTTAAATTAACATCGAAACTATCCTGACGACAAAAAAAATGCGGAAGATGTTTTACTTATTTCATTTTCATTTTTCCTTTGCACGATTTAGCAATCTTCCCCTTGAACGACTTGGCCCTTATTGCATTTAATTATTGGGCTAGTATTGTTGGAATAAGAGAGTTTAAGTCCAGTCCTTCTATTGGAATTTAGCAGAGAGGAGACGAAATAATTGCAAGGGCTCTCCAAAAAATGTTTTCCGCGAAACAGCCAGTATCTTCGTTTCCTGCCGACCAAATTCTTTATAATAAAGCTGAGTAATGGTTGCGTCAGACAGACAAGATAAATGTGAGTAGATAATGCAGCCTTCAGTTGACATCAAAAACTTTCGATCAACACACTTCATTTCTACTTTCCCTAAGGATTTTATGTTATTTTATTTTATGTTAATCCGTATCGGCATTTTTCTTAAGTGCACTCGAGGCTGCCAACGCCGGATTAAAGAGGGCGTACCCAGACATGTTGCTCGGCCTTTGGCTAAGGAGGTTGATACTCTCTGTATGGGGTCAAGCCTTGTACTAGTTTTGGGTGGCGGTGACTCATTTGTGGTTTATCTTTGTTCTGATGCTGGGGAAAGTGTGAGGCGCGTCAGGTAGAGGGTTTGATTAACTGAACTCCTGTACTATGTCTGCTTAGCAGTAAACGTAATACGGTGGTTTACCACCCTTCAAATTCTTTAAGTCTTCAGAATATTAAATAGGGTTGTGACTCCCAGCGGAACCCGACCGAAAATCCATGGGTTGACAAAAATTAAATGCGATAGTTAAAAAGTGTTTACTTTGATTATACGTAATTTAGAGCTCCCAAACAAAATATCCACAACGCGTCTCAGCCTCTGGGGAATCTCGTTAAGAAATGGATTGATGACTCCACTCCTCACTTATTTGTCAGTTGCAATGCCAAACTTTGAGATAAATTATGCGACTAAGTCCTACGCGGTGGTGTATAGACATGGAAACATTTAAGGTGATTGTGTGGTCGGTTGAATGCAGTTTACATGTGAGGTCACTAATTTTCTATGAGCGCTGACGACCTCAGGTCCTTTGCATGATTCTGCATATGGGGCAGTAAACAACAGTTAATTAACAAAACATACGAGCAAGCAAGGAAAGGTTTTTAAAGACATTCAAAAAAAGTAAAACCGATTCCCAAGTTCATAAGCTTGTTGATAAGTTCTGCCTCATACTTATCAATACGTATTTAGGACAATTTTATAGCTACAGTTCACGAACTTTGTTAATATTATTTTAAAATAGCCTCTTGTAATTGTCACTAGGCTTACTCAATATATGGTGAGCTAAAATTACAATGAATAAATTGACTAAATTCGTTGGATGAGCATTTTTTTAATTTAAATATATTCAAATAAGGACTTGTTATGAATCGTATTTTATCACACCCTTTAATCCGGTCGTTTCACCTCCGACAATGGGTTCCCCTCTTCGCAACATGTCGCCAGCCGCGCGGATCCTCAACTCCCCCCTCATTCACATGGATATTTAACTTGGATTATCCTCACACCTAGGTTTTGATGTTAACGCATGTATGACTCACACCTCCAACATGTAAATATCCACGCACATACCCCACACACGACACAACGACACCAACGTGGTTGACCTCGGAAGTAAACGGTTGTGTCTGCGTCCTCTCCGATCATTTTCTTCATCGCGGAGATGAGGGAGACGTAATCGGGCCAGGGTTAATTGCGTGGTTCTGGCGTGGTTCAAAACCACATGCTGGGGCCCACAACAGACTAATGCAGACTTTTTTCCTAGACGACATTCTTGGGAAAGTATGAACAATTATTTCCATAATTATAAAGAACATCATGTGTTGACAATCAAGTTTGTGCAAATTTAAATTTGTGCAAAATTAACTTTTCAACGATGCTAATAAATGTAACTAACAGTCGCAGAATGGTCAAGAATACAGGTTTAATTGGACAAGATTCCATTCTCTATAATCTTAGAGCCGAGTTCGACTAGTTTAAGACATAAAAGTTATGAGAATCAAATAGTGAACCTTTACAGACACGCTGTACATCAAGTAAACTATTAAAAAAATACATGTCAAACAGCTAATAAGTTTTAAGATGCAATTTAAGTGCTTGATAATGACTATACTTTTGTAACGCGTGCCATTCTACCCACGAATTCTGGTCTGGCCTGTTCTTTGTCCTCTTCTTCTCGTCCATTTTTCAAGGCACTCCCACGGGCCTGAGAGCAACCCCGACCCTCCTCACAGTCATACTTTTCCACCCCCAGCTCTCACCCTAAGCTCTAGCCCTCTGAATTTGCATGCGGTAGTATAGAATACATTAGGTTCTTACTGCAATTCATCTATCGCACATTACACATTACAGATTTGACAATGTTGCATCACAGTAGAACCGGATCAGTGATGCAACGAGATGGACAAGAATACCGTAACGTGTATCAGGATATCCACTTAAGATTAACACATTATAAGAATCAGAAAGGTGCAAATTGAATTTATTGAACAAATTCATGACTCTAAAATGCAGATTCTCATGGTGTTATTTAAACACGCTTTTGTAAAACATAAACATGTTCCTTAGATAAGTACTTAGGCACTGAATACTCCTTTGCTTTCTTGGACTTGCAGCCATACATTTTAAAAATCGACGACGGTTCCTGTCAGACAACATCTTGGCAATTATGTCTATTTTCTCAGGTTACATATTTGTAACTTATTTACATGTGTGAGATCATACCTATCTTACTCAAAACACGCATAAATTTTCAGTTAGACTAAAAATATTATTGCTAAAATTTTTTAAACATGGGAATTAATAAAATATGTATTTAATAATCTTCGATATGATTTAGCTTAAACTAAAATGGTTCTGTGTTTTTCGCATTCTATAATTCAAACAAAACCTATAATGTCATTAATTCGATGTTAATACATGATTCCCACGGTACCTCAAATTAGAAAGTAGAAACGGCGTGGGACCTCAGTTGCCAACATCCACACAGAATAAGCATGTTTCGACTAATGATGAAGTAGATCAAAATTCAGGCATTTCATTAAATGAATAATACTGCCTTGTTACTCTTTATGTACTGATTATTAAACCTCTAGTATCAGAAACATAAAACAAATAAATTATGTTTTATTTACAGTTTATCGGCCTTGAAACATTTCTTATTTCTGCTAGATCATTTTCATTCTATCATTCACTATCTAACACATTATATTTTTTGTTTTCAACTTAATTGTAAATATAGAACCTCAGATTACCACAATCCTCCCCACGTGCTGTGATAATCAATTTTTAAGCTTTTTACCCAAAAAATTGACTTTTCTTAAATGCCATTCAAATGCACAGAGCTCTTCGAGGTTTAATTATGCCCGCATACCCAATTCTGTCACTACAGAACTTGGTCATAATTAGAGAGAATTCCTGAGTCCTCATATCATAAATAAAGATACTACAATACTGGCTTTTTAACAAGCCACAAGCCAGAACCCTACCAGGTGCCGTCAATACAACTCACTACAGTGACTGCGCCGTCTATTACATAGTGATACTCATCAACCTGTGGTGCCGCCTAGGGCGCAGGTATATCGATTCATGCCGAGCTAAGGCAATCCTCTGCGTTTGACCGTTTGAATGGCGAAGCCAAGGACTGATGGGAAGCAATATATAATGATTGGCCTAGCCAGGATAGCGGACTCGGATAAACAGTGCCTGTGTCGAATATCCGAGCCCTATTATTAAGAAGACTGGTACTACCGAGCTAGCTTTATTGACCAAACACAAGCCATAATCAGACATCGAACATTGTCGAATTGAATCCTTTATGCTGGTTGCGGCACTTTATATAGAACTACGCATCCTTCCCTGTCTCTGGTTGGCTGCTGATCTATGTAAGAGTCAAACACCAAAAGATAAAGTGTGTGCTCGATGTGATCAAAGATGCCTACTCTCTATTACGGCACTACATCTAGCATACGATTGCAGCTTATTTATACAGCATGATCTTTTATGCATATTTCCTTCATTCAAGTGTTTGGGCAATCTACGAAACCTCTTGTCAATTTGGTTACTGATTTTCAATCCCGAAAAAACAGAATTGGCTAAGCTTGGTGTGATCCAAAATGTCTGAGCCCTAAGGTGGCACTGCTGTAGTGTACGCTTCGGCCCCATGGTATAGTGAGGAAGAGAATGAGACAAGATGATTTTCTTTAATAAAGGATTAAACTCGCAACACTGATCTGAATCTGGTCAGTCCGTATAGGGAAAACAGGGGGTTTATATATCTTAGTTCTGTTCTTCCTGTTCTCCCATTGGTCCGTCCAGCGTCGCTACAATGGAGACAGAAACCTCGTGAGCGGATTGGCTCTCAGCCTCCGGCGCGTCATTCAATGCCCGCACGCCACCACGCAGCCGGAAGTCGCACCACCGGTCACGTGATGTCGCCTCCGCGCCGTGCTCACCACCGTCACCAATATGGCTGCCGCCTGTCATTCCGCTACAGTAGCGATGGACAAAAGCGCAAGCATGTTGGACCGCCTGGCCTCAGCCAATCCTGTGTCTCTCTGAGTCCCAATGGTATGCGAGGAAGATAAGCAGCCAACCAGAGAAGGAAATGACTGAGGAGCAGTAAATGATGAGTAGCGTGGCCAGCGTGGTGGACTCGGATAGAAAGCGCCTGACGTTTCGCTCTGGCTCGTGATCGTGTCCTCAGCTTCTGGCTTGGTTCCTAGCACGGTTTTTGACATCCAGTGTTGGTAAAGTATCCTGTTCAACACTTCCCGAACCCCACATCTGGCAGGATAGTGGCCCATGCGAATAGTTGACGACGGACTTTGCTCTTGTAGATTTGCAGGAAGGACTCATCATCCATCGAAGGTCCTTCGCAGATGCAGTCCAGCTGGCTTTCACTGTCCAAGTCGTCGTGGCTGAGTTGCT